CAGGGAATTTGTGAGGCATATTAGTTAGAAACAGGTCTAAGATGGAAGATTTTTCAGGACGATTTTGGTTTAGTCTAGTGAGAGAGTCGATCAATTGGGGTAGATTGAGTGACAGGCAACATTCCTTGAATTTATCACAGAGGGGTGTCGACTTATCCCAGTCAATGTTGAAATCTCCTGCCAAAAAAAATCTCTTTGAATTTTAAATTTCCAAGGAATTCCATTAGGGAGGACAGAGCCTCAGGTGTTGCTGATGGGGGATGATAACAACCCACTACCATAAGATCTGGCCTCCATTCAAAGTGATGTTTACAGCTAAGGCATCAAATTGGTTTGGAATTGTTTTAGCAGACACACGACTAGAAATCAGAGAATCTCTGATGTAAATAGTGACTCCACCCCCCGCCCCCTTTTTTTTGACGATCACAGCAATAGATGTTAAATCCATTGATTACCAGGTCGTTATTCAGTACAGATTTGTTGAGCCAGATTTCAGAGATGAAGATTACATCTGCCCCAGAAGAACTGACCAGAATTTTCAAGGCATCAAGTTTTCTCAGAAGGCTACTTGCGTTTACATGCAGAAAATGAAGTCCTGACATGTTTTTAAAGTCATTTGGTGTGCTGTAATTAGTGGGGGGTCCAGGGTTGGGCTGAATCCCTGAGAGTAGTAACAACATTATTATCAGACATTTTTTTGAGTTTTTTTGTGACTGATGTGTAATTACAGGAGTTTACAGTGTGACAATTAGCCTCCATAATCAAACCATGAGAAACATTAATGAAGACGCAATCATTCAGAACCCAAAAACAGTGAAAGTTGCAATGATGGGCAGATCCAGGTAAGATTCAGTGACTCCAGATAGTCTGAGATCAGAAAATAATGGCAATCGTATGAATGGTGCAGAAAAGTCTCAGACCATAAAGCATCACAAATCAAATGGCCAATCAAACCCGACGAGGTGGCCCAACTGCAGTTTGAGTTGGGCTGAGGGGGGCTCCATCCCCCCTGCAAAAATGGATGGATGCTCCCATCAGAAACAGAAGCTGGGTCCAGAATCAACAAGCAGAAACAGATAATTTGCAGCAAATAGCAGAGTGAGCTGCCAGAAAATCCTCCTGAAATGAAAGGCATGGTCCTAGCTCGTTTCAGGTCAACAGGGGACAACAGCGTGATCCGGAATAAAAATAATTATTATCCAGGTGAGTTTGGATGGAGGACTGCAGCAACTCCGATGCAAACTCCAAAACTTCTCTCAAGCACCACGCAGCGCTACTCCTCCATGCTGCTTCTCCACTTCTCTGCACATCAACTCTGCACCCCACAAAACGAGAGGCACCCCCGGTGAAAAACAACAAGACTGACCGAAGAGGCTGAGGCTGAAGTTGTCACTGGTCTGGTCCGGTTCTGGTCCAGTTCTGCTCCAGTCCAGCTCCGGCGCTCCACAGCACAAGAGGCGAAGGGGCTGAAGTTGTCCCTGGCCCGATTCTGCTCCGGTCCAGTTCCGGCGTTGCTTTAAAGCATCAGAGCGTCTCCTCCAGGCGAACACAGCAATTCACACGGAGGTGGAAAGTCCTTCATTAAAAGGTAACGGGCTGCTCACTGAAGCTGAGACCAGCTCTGTTGAAGATGAAGTCCCCCACAGCCAACTCGGTTCTGTTCTGGTCCAGTTCGGGGGACACAGGTACACTTCCCCCACACCAATGAAGACGCCACGAGGGCCAGTCCAGCAGAAAACGAGCGAAATACCCTCCAGTGATTCTTATCGGGACCAGGTAGAACCACAAAGGTCCAGATGAGAAGTTTGTTGGGTTTTGGAGAGAGAGCCAAAAAACACCGGACCTTCGTGCAACGACTCCCCAGCTCGAGGGGTCACCTGGCCGGCAGGGTGTGCTCAGAATGACTGGTGGGGTGGGAGTGGTCGGTCCTGGACCAAAATAATTTTTTTGGACGGTCCCGTCCAGCTCTCTGAGTCACTGAACACCAAATTCGGTTAGAATGGGGACCAACTTTGATCCGATTAGAAAAAACGGGTCAGTTTTATGATAAAAGACTGCAGAGAAGCCGGGGGAGCTGCCGTCCATCAGCTTGCCAGAACCGGAAGTGTCATTAGTGACTAGTGAATATCATTAGTGACATTTTCTAGTGCTGTTTCTGTGCTATGATGAGCTCTAAACCCTGACTGAAACTCTTCAAACAGATAATTTCTTTGTAGATGTTCACTCAACTGACCTGCACCTATTTTCTCTAGAATTTTTGAGATGAAAGTTAGATTAGATATAGGTCTATAATTGGCTAGGATTTCTGAATCAAGGTCAGACTTCTTAAGTAAAGGTTTAATTACAGTAACCTTAAAGTGCCGTGGTACGTAACCATTCATTAAAGACAAATTAAGCAGATCCAAAATGTCTACATGAATTAGGGGAACACCTCTTTAAAGAGTCTGGTTGGGATGGGATCTAGCAGACATGTGGATGGTTTGGATGAAGCTATTATATGGATGGATGGAAGGACAGACAGGTGGCTGAGAGGCAGCAGCTCTACCAGTTGCGCCACCGTGCTCCCCATCAAAAGGATCCTATATAATATATTTTGTGGACAAAGAAGTATTCATTTAGTAATTGTAATAGTTAGATCTGGATTTCACTTTTAATTGTTAAGTCAAGTGATTTTAGAAGAAGAGTTTTTATACCTCTCTATTAGTAAGTTTTTTTTCTCGTTTAGGATTAGAAGAGCAAAGTTCAAAGTTGAAAAACAGTGTCACTTGAAGCAATTGACAGGAACCTCGGCAGTGTGGTTAGGCTTCACACATACAGGTACATCCTGTCCCAAGATGTGTTGTCTTGTTCTGCAAAGGCACAAACTGTGAGTTGATACCTCTCTTTTAGTAAGTATATTTTTTTATGTTTAGGATTAAAAGTGGGTTTATATCTCTATTAGTAAGTACTTTTTTACGTTTAATGTTAAAGGTTGAGAGTTTAGAAATAATAGACGTGGTAGCCGGATAGGAGGATGTTAGGCAAAGCACCTGTCACGAGCTTACAACACAAGTGGAAGTATTTAGTTTAGACAGCTGAGTGGTTGCATAAAAACCACACGCTGAAAAAAAAAAAAAGAGACAAACTTTTGAACTGTTGAAAAGTCTTCAAAATGGTTGACAAGTTTCCAAAATTGATGTTAGATCGGAAACAAGCGAATCAGAGACAAGCGGTGAGTTTAAAAAGACAAGATAGCAGACGAAAGTCGGTCAGTCATTTCAGGTAGAGATGGAACACAGTTGTCAAGCGCTGAAGACTTGGATCAGATCTGAAGATTCAAGAGGGAAGATTTTGGCTGCATAAGAGCTGAAAAAACAACAAAAGATGGAAACTTAAAGCATTGAAGAACTGCTCAGCAGCACATGATCACCCTTCAAGAGGACTGACCCTAGATAACTCTGAATAAGTCTCTGATTGGAATTAATTACATTTGATGACCGTTTTCAACAAAGGTTGTAGGAATTATTCT